TTTCTATTGCTCCTGGTTCCTTCTGTATTGCAGCATGAGTCAAGACGTCTGGTATTATGTTGACGTAGTGAGTAGATGATGGTTCTAATGAGACATAATGAATTGTATTTTAAACTGTTATCATAACCATAGTGATTAAAAGTTCTTTATTCACTTCTTTTAGATCCAAATTTATTGAATTTTATTATTAATTTCATCTACAGGGTGATTCAAAATTGGCGTCATTCCTCTGAAGGTGTTGTCTGTCGCTGTTATAGGAGTACAGAAGAAATAATAAAAGAAATTAATTGTTATTAAAAACTATATCAGAAATACAGCAGCAATGTTTTCCAAGGTAACCTGCCTAATTAACATTGCACAAATACCTGTTGCTTCGTAATTATTAAAAACTCCGGTAACCATGCAATTATACAGAGTGACAATAAGATAGACAAGGATAAACGGTCAATTCAACAAGATTCGTTGACTGCGCAACGTACTTTCGACATGTCAACCTGTTCTCATAACCTCGAATTCTGTTGGGTTTGGTGTTTACACAAATAATCCATACAACACCAAACATTTGAATGGTTAACTGCAAACAAGCTAGTGCCTGTGTAATCTCCTTATTACCCTTATCAAGCAGCTTCTCGTATTCAGTTAATTAACTCGTTAATTGCTGTGTGTATCGTACAAACGTGGTAGGAATGTAGCCCTTCCTCGGTATTTATGTGGTATGTACCGTATGGGTTGGCTTCTGCTATGTCACTGTAGCATTGCCCCTGAACTAAGCGCATATCCGCAAATTCGTGAAAGGAAATTCAAAGTAAGTTACAGGTTGACAAATTATTGTTTTTATTGACAAGGGTTATCCACCTGTAACTATCTGCTAATGACAGCAAACATCATTGTCGTTGTGATTTTTCATCAAAAAATTGTAGAAGAGAACTTTTTTGATATCAAAAATTTTCGTAATTTGAAGCAAAGATCGTAATTTTTCTTCTTGAATTCTTAAGTATTCCAATAAGCTACCAATTAAACATGGAACAATTTCTAAATAATGCTTAATAACAAAGTTGAAATTTGATCTTCAACTGTTAATATCTTGGAAAAAAAGTTTTTCAATATTTTTCTGGTACTCCCCAAGTGAGCCTCTATCACCCTTTAAAAGGAATGACGCCAATATTGAATCACCCTGTATAGAATGAGCGAAGGAAAAATTGAACATCCGTAAATAAGCAACCGCAGATCTAACGTGACAACATGGCCCAGACACAGCCCTTATCCGTCGCGCCCTAAGAGCGCGCCGACGCAGCCTCCCTTTGGGCATCGCCGTCGCGGCGCCGACACGAACCGCTCCCATTTCGCCTTCGCGCGTCGAGCTGCTCGCCGCCCTTCGTACCGATACCGCGAAAGAGCGACCACGATGCGCCGGGCAGGGGCGGGGCGACGGCTGGTCGCCCTCGCCTGACAATCCGCGAGTGCCGCCCCAAAACGGGAATTTGGACGGTAATTATCCATTTTTTCATTCAGGTTGCTGTTGTTGTTGTTGTTGTTTGCTGCCTATATCAGTGCTGTGTCTTAACGAACATCTAGACGCCAAAGAACGCATCGGCCTTGTTTACGTAAAGGGTGGCTTTTCAACTATTTTAAGGTGCTTTCCTGCACACCACCCGCGACACTTGTAAGCTCTTTCCAGCATTAGTTCTATACGCCCTTTTCTTAAACAAAGGCGAACAGTTGCTTTTGCTTGCTTTTCTAGTGGCATGCTATTGACATTCCACGTAAGTACATGTGGGGTTGAGTGCAAACAGCAGGAACTCTATTAATCTAAATGCTTACGGAGAAGCTAAGAAACGGCATTAAGTAGCGGGTGATTAACCGAAAAAGTCAATACATTTCAAAGGCTTTGCGTCTCCAAGCAGGATATCTACCATACATCAACAGCCAAACAATTTTTCAAATATATTATTTAAACAATGGTGTGGGTCATACACTGCAAGGTTATGAACGAATATCGCAGAAGTGAAGAAACAAGTGTCGGAAAATAGCTGCGAGGTGAAAAGTAAACAAAGACCAAGCATTATCCTGCTGACACACCTTAACGCCAATAAGATATATTAGTGTCTGTTGTCAAGATCACATTTTCCAAATTGATCGAAAGCATGTTCTATCAGCATTATCTTTTAGGCTCATTCAGGCATAATCGTCGTACATAACTGTACGGTTTCAATTAATTAAAATCATAAATAATAGGCATTATCTATAAACGCCAGTTCATTCAATTCATCCTATATAGAAGCCGAAATTTCATATTTGCTATATGGCAATTAAGCACGATTTGTAATTAGTAATTGTTTAAATCTGACTTTAATTCGATCATAATTTTGGGCTGAATGTTTTTCTGCTGATGCCAGCTTTAATACAAATTTTCGGTTTTTCATCCAAGATCGAGTGTGTGCCTCACCCAAGATCGAGCCATTGTTCTTGCGCTGATATATAAATATTTCATTAAACAGCAAATAATAGTTGAGTTAAATTTCATTTTGAGGTCCTAATTTTGGAGGAACGTTAGCACGATAGAAAATCAGTATGATATAATGAAATTAAAGCTAGTAAATATAAAAGAAAAGAAGCATGAAGTCTGCAAAATAAGTGAGTTGACACCAATAAATTAAGTGTGCGAAAATAATTTTTATTTCAAATGATCAAGTAATTCATTCACTCATTATACAGGGTTATTCACGCTATACGGCAGGGACGTTTGCGGCTAGCCCGTTTCTTTTTTGCAAAGTATTATTTGATGAATCCACAGACGCTTATCGGGTGCACATTTTAAAAATATTTTTGTAATGTACAGAGGTGCCCAGAACGACTATTTGACGTATTTTGTAAAAAGGCGAAAACTTAGCTATTAACATCCTAATACCATTCGATAGGTAATTAAAAATTGCATTTCCTGGTAAGTTAAAAAATATGGGGTTGTATTTAAATTAGTCAAGTTAGAGCCACTTAAAGTTCTTATTTGATTAGTTTAAATTTGTTGACACCCTGTATAACATGGTAAGTTTATTATCACTGGGATATAAAATATTATATCTTGTTACACTTCACTATAAATTACGCTTACATAACTTAAATATTTTTTTACAAACTTCTTTTTGGGTATTTCGCCTCAAAAATTTTTGTTTTGAAAAAAGACAGAATTTCCTCACGTCTTTTATTATAGATTGATAAATAGTGCTTATATTTCACAATAAGAACGAATTATTTATCAAAAAGTAATCAAGAACTATCACCTAAAGGGTATCCTGCGACGCACTTAGGCTCAAGCTGTAAGAGAAAATTCCAATTAGTAGAGAAATTAATTTGAAAAATTACCTTGACGTTTCGATAGCTATTTTCTGCTATCGT